CATTCCTACCATGTGGTTGGCTCTGTGGGATCTGGCTGTCTTAACCACCAGGCCACAGAGTTGGCCCTCATATGGAAGGCACTTACTATGTGCATTTGGACAGTTCCCCGAAGTACCCACCCCTAGCAGTAGTCATCTCCGAACAGTAGAACTAGGAGTATGTTGGAGAAAGACTAACTTTTTATTGTGTATATTTTACCATATACATGTACCCCTTTTAAAAATAAAAACAGTAATTTATTAGGGGCCCCATTTAAGGTGTTTCATGAATGACCACGATAAAATATCAGTTATTTCATTAGCACCATTTGTTTCTGATCCTAAAATAATGAATACAATTCTGAGCTTTTCTTCCTTCCAGAAGTCAAGTTGTAATGGGCTATTAAAGTCCACAGACTTAATGTTTTATGAATCTTTTAGCAACACAGACTTTTTATGTTTTATCAGAGCAGTACCATCTGTACTTATATTGTGTTGGGAAAAAATGACTTTTTAAGCCAAACACATTTATAACTTCTGACTTTTAGCTAAGTGACTTGAGGCGGGTTATTTTACAACCTGAGCCTCAGTTTCCTTACCTATAAAACTGGAATGTTTTCTCCTATGAGCAAAGACTGTTGCTTAAACAAAACAAGATAAAATGTGTATTTTCAGTGCCTGTCAGTGTCTGGTTCAAGGAAGGGCTTAATAGATGTTAGCCCCTTCCCATTCTCCACAGAAGGTGATCCAGAAAAGGCTTTTGGTGATATTTTTATCACTAGCTACTCACAGTATAGTCCCAACAGCACCAGAAAGTTTATTAGAACTGCAGTCTTAGCCCCACCTGATGTTAATGAGTCAGAATCTATATTTAACAAAATACCCAGGTGCATTCTCTGCACAGTAATGTTTAAGAAGTTATGTTTTGTGTTACAGCAGTGTTTCAGACAGGTTTATATTAATCATGTTTTTTATTTTCTGTATTTTGTGATGCTTTAGCATCTTAGAGCCTTCCTGACTTGGAGAGGAACTGCCCCTCCCAGAGTTAGTTGATTCTAGAGATAGCAAATAAATTGCCTGTGAGCTCACCTTAGATACACAGTGCAACAATCCTGAGTCCGTACACTATCACCCTCCTTCCTTCTTTCCTTCCTTCCTT